ACTTTGTCGATTCGCGCGCGCTGGGGAGCCAGCGACAATCAACAAATCATCCAGGTATGTGGCCACACCGATAATGCCAGTGAGGATAGTTTCCATCAACCACTGTAAGATCTTAGGGGCCGTCTTAACACCAAATGATTGACGTTTGCATTCGTGTGTGTATTGATGGTCAGTAGGGACCAGGGGTACGTCGCATCTTCGATCTGAAAATATGCATAAGCAAGGTCAAGTTTGGCGGAACCACTGCTGCAGTTCATGACGGTGAATAAATAATCAGGCACAAGCAGTGGGTGGTGGTACTGTTTGAGATCAGCATTGGGGGCTGTTAAGAAGTCGGCACGAATGCGTATTGAACCATTTGGTTTCCTCAAAACAACGATTGGTACTGCCCGTATGGAGTAAGCTATCGAAGAAAGGGCACCTTGCTGCTGGAGACGCTGGAGTTCTGCATCGACCTGTGAAAAGGATGGTACGAGATTGGCCTCTTAGGTAGGGTCCGGTCGAAGTCGGAAGATTGCTTGTGTGGTTGAACAGCGACCAAGGTCTGGCTCGAAAAATTTAGCGAATAGCCCAATGATATCACCGGACTGATCTGGAACAGCAACACGAGAAACGATCACATTGCATATGGAACTGATTGAGAAATTGGCCGAATTAAGACAGCCCAACCAGTTAAGTCTTGGAAGACTATTTGGCAGTGGTCACATAACACGCCCCAGTGAATGGTATTCCCTTGAACGAGAAGCAGCATTCCTATTCTCTACGAAGCGGAAACTCACCACCACATGCAGTGATAGCAGTTCTGGAGGACAGGAGGGCTATCAGTCGTGCTCCAACTCCGATATCATAGTGATGTCCAAAATAGTTTCAAACTGCATCCGGACTGGAAGACCATTGACCACGACAGTGGAGCATTCCCGGAGAGATTGGGCATAAACTTGAAACGTTGCCAGCAGACCCAAGGCGGAGCCCACTGGCTTGGAATGCCTGAGGCGTGGTTGCTACTTGGAGACGCCATGGGATGCACTCGATGAGCGTACACGATATTATACGTCTTTGTGACCAAAGGTCTTGCACCGACGGCAACGAGGCTGCTTTAACGGCCTTGTCTGACGAAGTGCCAGCACGGGAAAGGACAGTCTGACAACTAGAGTGGATGGTTCCAGGACGCGACGGACCAACGAAGGACGGGCCAGAGATTCCAGAATTAGAGGGTTTTGAGGCCGGGCAAACCGTATAAACTTCGAAACCACCTTGGTCCCAAGGTTGGGCCAAAGTGGCGTCGTTTTCTTGGTCGGTCAACCATTGGCACTCGTCAGCAATGATTTTGAGCACCAAAGAAGGGTCTTGTTCAAGTCGGTTGAGCGGATGCGTCCGTATGTTTGCTAAATTGGGAGACTGGAAGCTGCGTATGAAAATGGGGGATTTGAACTTTTCACTGGTGAGGGATTTCAATTTGAAGCGTTCGCATTTACGAATAACAACGCCAACGTGAGTCGAAAAGTCCTGACTTGTTCATAGCCAAATTTAGACAGCGGTACCCCCAAAAGTGGGCATCATAGTTGAAATACTTTTCGCGTGGATTCTGCGCTAGGATCAAGTTGCTGCACTTGTCCAGCTCTACCGGGCCGACGAAAAGATCGACTCGGAATAGGTCCTCGAAACGGCGGAACCATGTCTCGAACGTGATGTTAGCGTCTATGTCACAGTTAAACTCCACTATGCTATTCGCATTTGCGTCACCCCGTTGACTGGGTGCCGGATCGGACGCAGCGCTACTAAGCCATGTAAGCATTACGATGAGCTTAGGCTATTGCCCGAGCAGAGCCCCTGCTCTCGTGTGAGCAATTACTACTAGACCGAAACACCTCGTCGCCAAATGTTGTGTCGGACGCTGGTACAACGAACGGCTGTACACAACTTTAGACCAAGCGCACGAATCCTCATCTGTGATGCGAGCCCAATCGCTCCTAGCGCAGAGAGGCAAGAGGGCTAGACCTTCAGAGAAGGTCTTTCACTGCCTCGACCAAAGGCAAACTGATGGAAGACCGTCGTATATATATATATATATATATGGGGCGACCTTGGGGAGCAATAAATCAGTTAGCGCACATAAAGCCTAATTCGCCAAAAGGAAGGAGGCGCGGTTTTTCGTATTGAGGTGCAACATGACGGAAAAAGCACAGAATTAAAAAATTAAAAAATTAAAAATAAGTTGGTGATAACTCGATAAAACCGTTTTGGCGGGTACTAACATCCCCCTCCATATTAAAATCGAAGAAGAATCCTGAGAGTTACTGACCATACACACACCGCGGTCCATTTCAGTATCCTTGACAGCCACTTGGCGTCAAAACAGTGCCAGGCATATACAAAAATAAGTTGGTGATAACTCGATAAAACCGTTTTGGCGGGTACTAACATCCCCCTCCATATTAAAATCGAAGAAGAATCCTGAGAGTTACTGACCATACACATTTCAGTATCCTTGACTGCCACTTGGCGTCAAAACAGTTCCAGGCATATATCAACAGATCGACAGGATGCTGAAGAATGCTCCCGATGTTGCTGCCTATTCGGACGATCTGATCGTCACGAATTCCAACCCCGAAGCTTTGGTGCAGCGTTTTGATCACGTGCTAGGTCGTATTCAAGTGCATAGCTTCAGAGTGTGCATAGAAAAATGCACCTTGTTCATGCGGCCGATAAAGTACCTCAGTTTTATTATCGACGAACATGTAAACCGATCGGACCCAGAGAAAACATATGCTATCAAACGTATGTCAGCACCCGAAGACGTGACGTCACTTGGGTCCTTCCTCGGTCTCGTCAGTCACCACAGTCCGTTTCCGCCTGCCGTACATCGCCCCCGAGCTTCACACCAAAGGCCATAAGTGGGCATGGTGAGAAGAATGGCAACGCGCCTTTGGCTCTGTCGAATATGTGATGAGTTCCGATTTGTTATTCACCCACTTCGTTGCATCACTGTGAATCGTTGTGGCGTCGAATGCCTCGAACTATGGAATGTGCGTGGTGATTACTAATGTATTTTCTGACAGCCATTGCTCACGCGGCCAGATCCCTGATATCAGCTGAGTGTAGCAAAGGGTGGACAGAAACTCAAGCGTGGGAGGTGGTGTTTGAGGACAAAACATTTGATAAAATGCTCTACGGCCATCGGTTCACCCTACCGACCGATCACAATCTATTCCTTGGTGTGTTCGCCTCGAAAATGGGGATCCTGGAATATACCACCACATGCCTCCAGCGATGGGTCATTCTTCTTCTAGGTTATGACCTCATGATCAAATACCAGTCCACCGCCAGCTTCGGAAAAGATGACGCACTGTCACGATCGACTGATTCAAGCAGACTGGAACAAGGGGGTAATGTAGTTGCGATAATTGCCTTGTAACCGGAGATTAACCGTGTAGTATCCGGAGCGGTTTGCGTTCGCCTGGTGACTGCCTAGATGGTTCGCCAGTCTACCAACCAGTATACGGTTCTGCAACAGGTGATCAAGTACCACTGCAATCATTGGCTGCGTACCTCCCCAAATAATGAAATGGAACTTGGCTTCATCCGGCGTGACGCAGTATCATTCGCCGACGGATACCTTTTATTTTGAAAACTCGTTATCATCCCAAAGACGTCAGTCAGCCTTCCTTGATCAGTTTCTCAAACGGCACCCGGGGACAAATAGGACGAGTGCATTTACTCGGGGCTACGTATGCCGGCCTTTGATGGACTCCAAGATTGACCAAGTTTCCAAATCTTGATTGTGGTGTTTTGAAGCATCCAATTTAACCGTGAAAACCTTTCTATAGGCATGGCCGCAACCGACCAAACCCTGGTCTCGTCTTCGCATCGACAATGCACATCCAGTGAGTGGCTAACGCTCTTCGGTCTCGATCGATCGTGGCCGCAACCGACCAAACCCTGGTCTCGTATTCGCATCGACAATGCAGATCCAGTGAGTGGCCAACGCTTTTCGGTCTTGATCGATCGCCACAGCAAATTGCCGCAATTTTTTCCAGTGAACAGTCCCGCTAAGGCCGCTACACCCTTGGAAATCCGACAATTGTTCAATCGCTGTGGAACTCCAGAGCCCGTCGTCCCCGACAACGGGAGTTGGTTCACATCATCGGCGTTCGCAGATTTTCGACCGAAGTATGGCACAACTCGTGTTCGCTCGCCACCTTTCCATCCATGGTCAAATAACGAGGCAGAGCGCCTAGTTGGCACTCTGAGACGAGCACTTCAGAAGTCCAGAGAGGAAGGACCAGCGGAAGAGACTTTGGAAAGGTTCCCGCTGGCATATTGCTTGACATTAAACTCCAGCTCACCGGATGGAGTGCCACCAACAAAGGCACTGCCTCGTAAGAAGCTTTCAACACCACACGACACTAGCCGGCCACAAAAAGGGGGTTCGGCACGGCCAGAGGGTCGGGTCAACCGGTAGCATGAAGTAACCGCGTGCTCACCTTGATAAGGCCAAGAAGCGTTGGTCCCTGGCTATACTGGCAGACACCCTACATGATACAAGAACATATCCTTCATCAAATCGACAAGTTGGCCGGATTCAAGTTTGCCCAGCTAGGTGGATCTGGCACACAAACCAAATTCGGCCGGCAAATACGCTGATCCTGCACACAGTAACGAGTGACTTGAATCTTGAGATGCCTCTGGACGCCTTTGATCTCGGCTATATTCCAGTAAATCAACCCGCTGTTCCATCGGAGGTCCAGCCTGAGCACGCAGTACGACCGCGGCGCTGGACAGACAGGATCCGCAAACCAGTGAGGCCAATGAAAGTAACCCCCCGCCTTCGAAGCCACGTCAGCAAAATTCAGCGGGGAGGCGTTATACGAAATCCCACACCGATACCGCTTTATTCCTCGCAGGGCGTAACTACGCACTGCTTCTGCTGAGAGGCCGCTGTGATTGGCCGCTTGCCGGTTCGGTATCACGGCGAACTCTGAGTGGTCAAAAGCCTGGACCCAACAGCCAATTACGACCCAACATCGGCCGAATGCTGGTTGCCAATGGTGCATTCAGGGCGCGTCAGCAATTCTAGGTTGTCGCGCAATACACCTCATAAAGGACTCGCTGTACAAGTGGTTTTTACCTGGTACGGGACGTTATTATACGTTTTGCACCTTTGGTATTTGTTCTTGACGGGGACGCCAGCTTGGGTGGTTCAACCCGAGAACTAAGCTAGGGAAAATGCCGTTACTATAGGCGGCATTCATATTACAGTCAGAAACAGTTCAAATTTTCAAACGTAATTTGGATGAACATTTATCTGATCTATGCTTCTGTGAGGATATCTCCTCCGCTCTGGTCCCGAAAGTCAGCTATTCCACTAGCGGACCAAGGGCGTACATGGAATGATATTCGAATTTTTTTCTCGATGGAGTGTACACAGAATTTTTCTTTTGCTCCAAATATATATGATTCTATATGATGATTCTATGATTCTATAATCCCCGGTGACTTACGCGGACTCTACCTACATGTGATGGGAGTGTTGTTGACACAAATCACTGATACCTAAAGCGCCATTCAGAGACTGTATAACTGTGCAGTCGAAGATGAGGTATTTATCGTGCAGGTCCAATTTGTATGTGATGAACTAACGATAAACTGTTTCCGAGGTTGTGGTAATAGCATCAGCCCTGAATTGCTGTTCGAAGTTCTGTGCCCACCCAACGGTCCAAAAATTTTGCTGTGCTGGATGTCAAGGAGCCATTATATATGTTCCCTGGTGATTTCGCTGACGAGGCTTCCGAGGACTGGTCTAACTAATCAAGTAAAGCAGCTTGCGGACGTTTGCGGAAGTTTTTCATTTTCTTCGGCCTTTGGGTCCACCAAGCTTCTCGGTCTGCACGGACAGTCATTCTCACCTGGTGTCGGGTCGTATGTTGTGTTTGCGACCAGGAGGGATCTGTCGCGAGGCTTCCAGCAAAGGCGTGATGCTATCAGTGATTCAGTGTTTGGATGAGGCTGGTTGGTTTGTACCGCAAGCAAGTTTCGACCCTGAGTAACCCACTGGAAATGCTTTCCCATTGTCCGTTTGTGTTCGGCATCGGACCGGTCGGCAGGCATTCGACGAGCTGGTACCGATACTTTCCTTTGATTTATCGGTCCGGTAGCTTCTCAGTGGCTAAGCGAGGTATGTGTATTTTGCGTAGACCTGAAAAATGCAATGAAAAGCAGCAACGTACAAGTGCATGGTCGGAGTACACACTTGTGTTCCAGAAGGATTGGCAAGCAGCGATCGACCTAGTCACCTATAACTGACGGCGATGTGGTCCATCTGGATTCGGAGCTGGCACGTTGGTGGGCACCACGTCAAGCGATTTTCACTGTTCCGGAAATAAGTACTGCAAAGTAACAGTCTGTGATTAGCACACATCTGAACAGGTGATCTCTGTTGCCTGTGCCTCTTGTGTCCAGTTTAAAAGGACCGCCAAACCGGACCTCAGCAGCCTTTCGCCTACATGGCCTACCTACTTAGGCGTTCGTACCACCACCAACCACGATGTCTGACCTTTTAGTCCGTTGTAAAAGAGCACCTAAAGCACCATGGAAACTTTCTTTGGCAGATTCAGAGCCACATTCATCTGCGGAATAAGCGGACACAATAAACGGTGCGGTGGACCTCGCTTCCTCTGGATTCTCTAACAGATGCCGGACAAACCTCACAAAGGCGACTCTCAATGAGTACTCGATCAATGAGAGACGCTCCCGCTCGATCGTTCAATATAATACCCACCCCCGCTTACCCAGCTGCAATGGCCTCTGCACAACCAGAAGTGCACGGTCGGAATCTGGGGAAAGGCATTCAATTCGATCGCATTACTTGCGTCCTGTATCTTGGTTTCTGACGGACGGCATAAATCAGTACAGAGGAGGTCGGGCGTGCGAGCAAGAACCACCAGTTATCCTGCCTTTTTCGATGCGCGAAAATTGAAGGCGGTTAAGTAGACAGGCTTTCGGGTTGAAACAGAATTCAAATTGTTTAGGGTCGTCAGTGAACTTGGACGCACTGCAGCTTCAACTGAGTGTGGTGCACGGTTCAGTACTGATGCTGGGACCTGCGGGGAGAGTATTCAAATTGGTGTGATGTGGGGTAGAAGAGAGAGAAATTGAAAATGTAAGAAGAGGGGCATCAGCAATAGCATGTTTTCGCTTACCCGCCCTGGTGTATGCAGTCATCATCATCATCGACAGCATGACATCAGTGTTCAACACCGATGCTTCACTGCCGTGCAACCATGACTTATTTGAAAGCCTTATTGTAAAGAAGAGTAAAGGTGGACGGGGGAGGGACTTAGTGCTAGCTTATCACAATCATTCCTAGGTGCATATACCTCCAGACACTCACTCAAGCTATCTGGATAGAAACTGATAAGGAGAACGCCACTGGCATCGGTTGGCAGCCATGTCTTTTAGTGTCTCCAACCAGGCACAGTGAGGATCACGCGGTCCTCATCCTGAAAGACGAGGAGCACCGACAGCACCCAAGGGTCCCGTGATCTCCTCCATACTCCTCTGCCAAGTCGAGGGTTGGCCATCTCTCTGTTTACGCGACTCTGAGTTGGGCGTGGGAAATAGCACTCTCTTCGGCAAACGATGGTTCGGCATACGAAACATGTACCAACCAACGCAGCTTCTGGTGCTGGACAGATTCTTCAATGGAAGTACCCGTTGCACAACCGAAAACGCGCTTTCTAACTGCCTCGTTACGGATTCACCGACACCAACCCACACGAGCTATGGTTCTGAGACAACCAGTGTCGAACACCCGAAGACGTCTCAGGCCCGCTGCTCGGATAGGCCAAGTCTCACAGCCATACAACAAGACAGCCCGTACTGTAGCTTGATACACATGTCCCTTGAGCTTCAGGGATAAACCATTCTGACGCCATAAGTGTCTCAAGGCCCGAGCCTTGCAGATTCGTGCATTCACTTCATCTGTCACACAACACTCAGAACTAATGCAACTTCTAAAATACGTAAAACGCCCCACAACTTCCAGCACCTTTCCCTGGATTGTAAGTGGTGTGTTTAGTGACTGAACGTCCACGGGCATGACCTTACAGCAAGTAAGACGACCCGGCTGGTTACACCACGCGACGGCCGATCTGGCACGAGAGTACTGTTGTTTGTAAGTGTAATGGTTTTACGTGGGCTGGGATACTGCCGGGGCGCCCAGACCAAGACAGAAGGATGATTAGAGCCTTTGACTCAAAAGCTCAACCTCATGGCGAGGGTGTTGGGCGAGAAATGCTAGCGCATTACGATTTCGATCTAACAAGTCACCACACATGTTCTTATCCGCAACGTGTAGGGCCAGGAGACTGTGTCGGTCAGGCCTCTAACCTTTGTCCACTCTGGTATCGGAGACTGTGGATGTCGAACAGACACTACCCAGTACAACTGAATAGGTCACGGAGGCACACGAACGGCTAAACCAGTCTTTTCATGACGGAATTTAGTGTGGTGTCTAATCTGATGAAGCGCTTTTAACCCCTGGACTGAGTGCAATCTCCATAGATATTGCGAGACGTTGTACTCCCGTCGCCAGATATCTGAAGATGGCAACGTGAAGCACCTTAGTTCTTCCTAAGTAAGATTTTGCGCGTCTCGGAGACGCAACATTGGCACAGAGGGTAAGCAGCATTTCAGAAGGAGATACCCGTTACTTAATTTGGTTGGGGTTACGGACATTGAGAGGTCCAACGAAGATTGGATCTTGTGAGTTTGGCGACGGATTATTTCGGTTTATTTTACTGGACGACAATTTGAACACGGAAGAATGATTAAGGGACTGGTAGGGGGATTGACTTCGGAGAACCAGTTGCTGGATGAATGTTGCGACAGTCGAGTAGTTCGAGGTTTGTTAACAACAAAATCCACTTGGTAAATCAGAAGACGAGAGACACTAATAAAACCTGTGTTTTGAGGGTGTGAGGTTACAACAACTAGGTGCATCCTAATCAAGTTCAATACAATACCAAAAGTAGAAGGTTCAAACGAAAGACTTATCGTTCTGAGTGTGAATTGTAATAGTTACCCCGAGTTGGTTTGGGTGCGGGTAGTCGTTTTTCTTTTGGCAGATTCCCTGGTACACGACCCTGGTTGTCCGCAGTTTTCGGTGGTTGAGCCGGTCTGTGTTCCGCCGCGCGGGTAATGCGTGTGTGTGTACTTGATTGTGTTCTGTCCTTATATATAAGTCGTTGCAATGAGTGGGACATGAAAACAATGTGAAATCACCTGGTGTCGTTCAAAAGGTCATGGAACGGGAGTTGACATATTGTCGTATTCATGTCATGATTTTGACGCGTGATTGTGAGACGGACAAGATGGAATCGGCTAGTAGGTGCCGGTGTGAAATTGATTAGAGGAATAATTAAGCAGAAGGGTAAGCGTTACAAATACTCCCCCTTTGGTGAGGGATCATATAGGCGCTGTCATCAGTCCAGACAAGTCACGTCTTGTCTTGTGGTGCACGTTGTGGGATGTGGAACAAAACAAACCACGAGGGAGATAGTGGATGCGGATGCACTAATCAGATTGGACATTGTATGGAAGATGTGGTTTATATAGTCATGACAGTGGGTAGGAGTTGTGGTCGACGGTCCGCGGATGAGGATCTGCAAGAGCGAATTTTTCCTCCCGGTTGGCTCTACCTGGAAGGGTTTTTCATTCTTTACGTTCAGCTGTAGTACCCTCCCTGTGCCTAGTTGGAAGGGTTTTTTATTCTTTACGTTCAGCCGTAGTACCCTCCCTATGCCTAGTTGCCATACCACCCGAATGAAGCCCGAGGGCTGGGATACTGCCAGATTGCCCAAGCCTAGACAGGGGAAGTCGAGAGGCCTAGGTCGGGTTCAAACCACGGACCATGCGGCCAATAAACTCCCGCTCATACCACTTGGGCCATCTCGCGGTTTGCTTAAAGGCGACCCTATCTTGAGTCTTTCACTCAAATGTCAAACTCCCGCTCATACCACTTGGGCCATCTGGCGGTTTGCTTGAGTCTTTCACTCAGATGTTTGATGGACAATGAAGCGTGCATCCCAACAAAAACCCACGACTCAATCTTCTGGCCCGCTTGACCGCAACGGAGTGACCTAGCCCAAGGACGCAGAAACTAAGGCTCAGGTGTCGCTCCTAATACCACTGTGCATAGCATATGAGCTTGGAGCTGCATTGGGATCTTATTAGGTAGTTAGAACAAATTAGATAATTTGTGGCAAAACGGTCAACCTCTTGGTTATCAGAACATGCAGTTTCTAGGGCCGAAATTTTCTGACCCATCCTTTTTCGACGAAAGGTAGCATCGCTACTTCCATCGGTATAAACATGGTGGTCGCCTGGAGGCAGCGCCCTACTGTATTAGCGCTCCTATTGCCTGGGGCTGTACGAGATTACCTCCAGATCGCATTGAATCATGGTTAATCTTAGCTTGGAGGCTTGCTGCTCATCTAGCTGAATCATCTCTAAATCTCTTGGTGTGGTTGCACCTTGTAGGACAGTGTTCCAGCCAGTGTCGCTGGTCGGATTGTTGCTGCACTCAAGCCCGACCACCGCGGCAAGGTGCCAACTTTTTACCTGCCATCAGTCAACTCACCATCAGGGACATACACCCCGAACGCCCAAGCGAGCATCCACTGATATGCTACTCTAAGGCCACAGATACGCATATAGACTGTGTTCACATGATGGGCTCCATCATTTGAAGTTTTCAGGTTTTATAGAGGCACTGGGACTGGAAATGCATGGGTACACATCCTATGTTTGTTCGAGACATATGAAGAGAATTCCCCTCTAAAAAGGCGCGCAAACACTGCACTCAGACTCTCCAAAAAACAACCCATTCTAGAGGTTTAGCTACAAAGTTCCACACTCAGCTCTCACTAATATGAAAACCAGTTCGTTCTAGTGAACGATCAGTGCACATCGGTCGAGAGACGTCCTTACCGCGATATGGCGGTTTGTTCACCTCCATAACCCGTTGAGCTATACTGAGTGGTGCATTTATAATACTAACAGGGTCCTTCGTACCAGGTTGGTTCGTGGGTAAAAGTTCGACAAACTAATTTTATCGGTCTTTTAGTTTGGGGTTTGGACTGTGTATGTGACTTGTCGCTTAAAAAATGACGACTTCCGGTGATACTACGCCAACCATCGCTGTTTCGGGCTTTTTAGCCAATGACTCTAATCTTCCTGTCTAAAGTTGCGTACTCTAACACTCCTAGCAACTTACATCCATGAATCGTGTAACCACAGGCACCCTGATGTCCAATTGGCTATCGCATGTTGTTGCCGGGTCGCATTACTTATCGCAAACGCTAGGATGGATAAGCGAAAATAGGCCACTGCTGACGTCTCCTTTTTACAGTTTTACATTTTGCTCCTAGCACCAATTTCGTAGGCTCGTTCCCGGAAACTCATAGGAACTTTCCCAACCCATTGCTGTTAGCTGGAACGTCTACACGTGACTCGGTTGCCACGGCTATAATTGCCTCGGAATTGTCCTTTAAGTCCGTTCAGTCCACCTGGCAACTTTTAACTTTCGCCCCCTGAAGCACGTTGGACAACAGGCTGCTCGTACTTGTGAACTGGCACCGCTTCCTGTTGATGTATGTTGTCTCTCTAAGACGAGAATCTATGACCCAAGTGCGATTGTTGAACTGATCTCCCTATCGGTTTCTTTTCGCTTCCAGATGCGCAACTCTGGTGTCCGTAAGCCACCGTGGCTGGCTCTGCCAGGGCCAGAATTGTTTTAAACCCATTGAGCTGAATGGTCTGTGCTCAACTGACCATCTATTGATAATCACCTATGTGGCGTTCCACTTGGCAACATATCTGTGTGTGCGGGTAATCGTTGCCTGTTCATTGTTGCCTTATACCCCAAAATAATGTAGTTCTGGTACTCTGGTTTGTCTACTTTATTACGGTGGGCCAGACTGGAGAATTTAGAAAAATCCCTCGACCGTTGGGCCGGATACTATGAACAACAGTTATCTTGGCCACCAGCCGCCACTTTGGCATTCATTTCACCCACCAGGATCACTATATCCGTTCTTCCTGTGGACCCAAGCGATCGCGGCTGATCTCTATAAAACTCGTTCTCAATTTCAGAAATGCACTCTGTCGGGGCGTATACTGATACGACAAATAAACATTGTCTACCGCATCGACCTGCATTTATGTTAATTGAGCCAGACAACTGCGCACCGTAAATACGGTTGTTCACCGTGATCCAATCCAGTAAAGCGCTTCCAGCGTTGGAGATGAGTGCAACTCCCACACCGTAGATACCACCAGCCGATTCCTCAGGATTACCAGATACCCGAAAAGAAATCGAGAACATCTGAGATCGTCCAAGGCGAATGGAGGCGTACGACTGGTGTGGGACCTTGCATGCGTGTTTCGAAGACAGAAAGGGCAAACAAGGTTTCAACAAGGGCTGCTTCTTGCCCAATGCGACATAGGGTACGAACCTTGAAAGCCGCACTGTGTATCAGATCTGTAGAGATTATCAAGAGATCATTCTTTCTGCTTTCCAGGGTGATTTTTAGATATAAAACAATGGCTGGGAGATTGGCAAATCGGTTGGTTGCACACCTTCATTCGATTGGTGGGGAGAGGGTGTGGGGAGAGACCGGTGAGCGAAGAGCAAAAGACGAATAATTCCCGGTTGCCCAAGCCGAAAAAGGGTTTGGTTGAAGTACCCAACATCAACGTTCCTCTGTGTGTGTTCAGGAAAAAGAGAGTCGGTGATAATGCCCATTTTCAAACAAAGGGGATCGTAATGAGTGTGGTAACCACCACAGAGTGGGTCGGCTTGACCCCTGTCGTAGCCCCTGTTGGCTTCACTTCTTCTTCTTCGCCTTATAATGGTTGGTGAAACACTGACTCGAGAGCAGCAAGCGGGATTCCGGCCTGGTAGCGATTGGGTTGACCAAATATTCACACTCTATCAGGTGCTAAAACAACGTCATATGTACAAGCGAAAATTGTAGTATTCCTGGATTTCCAAGGCGCTCGGTTGACCGATCGGTTCTCCTTGGCACGTTTGTCCATGGAGAAATGCCCCGAAAGTTTGTGAACATAATGCGTTCTTTGTATTCTCAGACTTCCGGACGTGTGAGGGTATACGGAGAGCTCTCCGAAAACTTCTGTACACAAAAAAGTGTTAGTCAGGGGTGCTCACTGTATCCATCCTTATTTAATTTCGTGATCGCTGAGATAATGAGACGAATGGTGGATGGACTTCAAAACCCTGGTGTTCAGATAGCCTGACGCAGACCCAATCGACCTGGAAAATGAAGACGAAATCTTTCTCATCTTCGACGAGATGGCGCAGGCGTTTTTGGATAAACTGTACACTTTGCACCGACAAAGTGTAAGATGATGCTCGTGGACATGCAGTCACTAAACATGCCACTTACAGCCCAAGATAATAATACTAAAGATAATCGTCCAGCTGTAACACCCTTTCGGTGCCTAGCCGTCATGCCACCCGAAGGAAGTACGAGGCTGGGATACTACTAGACTGCCCAAGCCTAGACGGGATGTCGAGATGCAGAGAGAGGTCGGATTCAAACCACGGACCATGTGGCCAGGAAATTCGCGCTCTGACAACTGAGCCATCTTGCCCCCTACAGGTATTCAATTGAGTTATAGCCCTACATTGCTCACATATTCCGCTTCGCAGACCCCATTATCTCATTTTTACCGTGCGAGCTCCGAAGCAATTCGTCCAGTAGGCTGCTCTGGCACTCAGTAAACTCACAAAACGGCCCGAGCCGAGCGGCCCGAATCGAAGATGTAGTATCCGATAACCAAATAGACTGTTGAAACATTGTGTCCAGAAATGTAAACATAGATCTGTATTAGACTTTAGGGCTCCAGTATTGTCTTTGATTAACTCGCTACCAGGTGATATCCTGGGTCCTATCTTGTGGACTGGCTTCTGCGCAATCCCCGCTACACAGTTCTTATCCCCCTTGCCGTTCATAACACGAATGAGTTAAGCGCCAATCTTCCTACGTATATGATCGAACACCCTGGGACCTGGCAGCCTTTTTAAATTTCATGACAGCTATGCACTAAAAGGTGATCGTAACTGAAACGTCTGACCTAAGTTTAGAGTAGTTTAAATGAACTATCAGCTCTGGCGTTTTGTTTTATCGTTTGTTAATCGTGACTCAAATTGGTTGTCTTTATTTATATTCAAGATGCAGTGTTTCACTTCCTTCGCGAATTTCTCACTTTTTCTCACAGATTCTCCCCGCCTTTCGATGGTCATCTTTAGCACTTTCTCAACTTACATTCAAGTTCGGAAGCCCTGATGTTTGCTACTCGTTGGCACTGACTCGGTGTTTTAAACTCACATGGGCTTACGTTACTCAAAGCAACGACACAAACCCCGAATCAGCAAGTCGCAGATCCCATGGCTGCTGCGCGGTGCTATTCGCAGCAACAATGTGGAAACATTGCAGTACTTATTCAGCTATCCGAATAAAGTTGATCCAAGCATGGTAATCGACGGTGTGTGTCCTCTGAACCTGGCTGTTGAGCTGGGACACCTACAGATGGTCAAGATCCTTATCAAAGCTGGCGCCGATATCTTTGTTGCCGACGCACCGCGTTATCCGCTCCATCAGGTAGGCACAATTGACGTATTCTGCTTGTGAATGATAATTGATTAGGATCGGATACACTTATCTTGATCCTTAACTTCTTCCTGCCCCCCCCCCGTTTTGAGCTAATTATATCATCAACTTTTTGAAATGACTAGTTAAAAAGTTCATACATTCAACCATATCGGACGATTAGCATACTTTCTTGGCCTGCATCCTGTCAGACAAGGTAGTGTGCGTTTTCAAGTAGTTCCCCGACTGTACCGAAAATCGTTGAAGCAGTCTGTATGCACTGGAACTCAATTATTCTTTATTGATAGGGAAAGAAACCTAACCTTGAGATCAATACATTTTGGGGGCGAGATGGCTCAAGTGGTTAGAGCGCGAATTTACTGACCGGAAGGTCCGTGGTTCGAACCCGACCTCCGCCACTCGACTTCCCCTGTCTAGGCTTGGGCAACCTGACAGTATCCCAGCCCTCGTGCTTCCTTCGGGTGGCATGGCAGCTAGGCAGCGAGAGGGCGCTACAGCTGAACGATTTTTTTTCAATACATTTACTTAAGACAAGTTGAACAACAATGTTCCGGAATTTAAGGTGACCCCAGCATTCTCATCCGGACAAAAGGCGTAAATTTTGATCAGTTGCGATGCTTTACGAGGTTGATCGGAGTTTGTGTTGTGGTTCCAATCGCTCCCTAGCTTCTCGATTGCTGCTTGCCAAGGTGGCTGTATGCCGATTTGTTTCGCGGCAGATGTACGTTGAAAGGTGCTATAGATCAACGATTTGGAGGGATATTTCGGCACTATATAGATGTTCGCATGAACCTCACTTTACTTCGCTTTACCCTATTGTTATATCTGCTGCTGACCCGCTCCAGTGCCTAGTGTCGGAGAGAAAAAGGCTCACGGAAGGGAACACAATAGCTGTATTCCAACAAAGTGGTTGCGAGAGCGCGAGTGCGTGCGAGTGCGAAAAGTACAACGGCCTCAAGCTTTTTATTGGAAGGACACTGTCTGAACTTGGTCCAATGCTGACGCACGCGGTCTGGCTTTAGTACGAGGCAGCGACGTGCTGCATATTGCGGAGGCGTTGTCTGTCTGGTCAACACCCAGCGGAGCTGAGAGTCTCCGGGCATTCAGCGGCTGCTTTCAGGAAGCTGACCTTCCTGATACCTATGAAGCCAGCTGCTTCGTAGAGTTATTCATCTGAGACTTTTGTAAAGTTCGCTTCCACTTTCGCGGAACTACCGTTGCTCATGGAGGGGAGGGCGGTGATCGTTATTGAAGTATGGTTTGCAGTTTTATTTCTGAAGTGACTGTACAAGGTTGGAGATAAGTTTCAAGGCACTTGAAGAAATCAAAGTTGATGATCCAAATAATCATCCACACTTTCATTTGGTTAACCCGACACACAATTCCCAATTCCATAAAATTTTAGCCATCTTTGTGGGTGGGAGGCGGCGTAGCAAAACTCCACCTGAGTTTTTCACTCTCTCTATTGGTGCCATTATTTTCGAATTCCATGAAAACTCCTGGAGTGCCCACTAACAGTTCACTCCGGTTTAGGCTTGTCAATTAAGCATCGCATTTCGTGCCTGAATCTTAAATCGGACGTATCTGCAGATAAACATTTATTCTCAAAATATATATATATGTATAATTGATTGGTATGATTTCGGGACTAGACATACCTTGTGAACATTCGTGAGGCTGAAACTGATGGTGGGCATTTTTGTTGGCCTTCTGAGCAGAGTTATATCAAGAAAGTGACTTCCATTTTTAAAAATATCATTATGACCAGCACGAGGCGTCTTTGTGCAGCACGTTTAGATGAATATTAAAGTAAACAGGAGATACAATTGGTATTCACTCGAGTCTCCCGTGAATGGAGGGTAGGCATTGGCCTCCGGCCCGAGAGTGATGGAGCCAATCAGCGCGTTGGTTAGTCCGTGGCCGTAACTGTTCAGGCACACAACTTAAGTAACAGCGGCGTGTGTGGAACAGAAAATACGAACAGGAATAAACATGAATTAATCAAAATTTGAACACGCTTTTGTAGACGAGTGTCGTTTGCGGAAAATTTAGGTTTTCCTTCTAGAAAACCCAGGACCCCTGTCACTCTATGGACCCGTCTTGGATGCCTATGCGAATCTTAGACTTCTCACCTAATACACTCCGATATGATCAACTGTCTCCAAAACGCCGATTGCGTGGCACTAGTGAGCACCTGTACACAAGAAAATAAACCTAAGAAACTGTGGTTCCTCATCTCATCTGCTTGATGACCGAACTTTTTTGATTCGTTCTCCGTCATAAGGCGTTTCCATCTCGCTAAGACCTTTTTTGTCCCTCCAGGTCACCGGTCGCTTTTTTGTTTGTCATATCATACTGCTTATATAGACACCTACATATCCCGGCTAAAATGGTTGTCTGGAAGTTCGCCGAAATCGAACAATGGAGAAACCCCTGGTTTTGTCATGTTTGTCTCATCTTTTAGGCAAGCCTTTACGGGCGCGGACCCATAGCCGAATTGCTTCTCCGTTCGGGTGCGTCCATCTCCGCTCTCACCGAACGGCGACAATCTTGTCTACACTTGCTAGCCCATCAGTCCGCGGAGCGATTCGTCGAAACAGCCCACGTATTAATGCGTCACAATGCAAATCCGAACACACTTGATGATGACGGACTTGCACCATTACATCGTGCATCATCGGAGATGGTTCATGTCCTTACCTCAGTGAGTTCCACCGCGCTGTTTATCACCGGGACTGTTTCCTTCCGAGGACATTTGAGCGCATTCTCTGGAGTTTTGGTGTTGTCTTTAAGGCTGCTTTAGCCACAACCCATTCATGAGCTGTCTGTTTTACTAAACTGCGGTTGAGTTACAACTGAGGCTTCAAGTAACGTACGAAAATGGCCCCTGAATTCACACTCAACACAGTAATTTGGTAAAGGTTTATAGCTTCGAACTATCGGACAACTATTCACTTCAAGCTTAGACAAGCGTTATGCTTAACTAGATGCTGGACTTTACATGCCCACAATATGGTCGGAGTTAACATAGAGTAAGAGAACTAATATATGCTTCAGTAAGTTTGAACATAGCTTTTACGTGTTTTAGTGCGAGAGGCAAGCAGGTTTTGGTCCAAAAACCGTGCGCGCTCAACTGTAATACGTTGTCCACGCAAAAACCAACCTCAGCTTGGATCGCGTGTTGGACGGTCAAATAGACCTTCCGTTCAATGCCCCCAATCTATTTATCTCTGCTGATTCCAGCAGTTGCCTGCATGAAACCATTTCCCAAATACATCCGAGAACAACCCGGCCGAAAACAGGAAACTCCACAGAATTTGCTAGCATTGATGTAAATGGCATTCCGATGTTTATTACCGGTTTACCGACAAATCGATGGAGTCGCCATGGGTTCTCCTCTTGGTCCCTTGTTGAGTGACATTTTTATGGGCAAACTGGAGCTTGGTCGATTGAACGGTGAGATTAGACGTGTCGAAGGTATGTAGATGAAATTTTTATGCTAGTATCAAACGGTTACGAAGTGGATGCTGTCCTGACCAACTTCAACTGAGCGCATCCATCCACCCAGTTCACTTTTGAACCTGAAAGTGACAGCGCCTTCCACTTCCTGGATGTTATGTTAGACTTTCCACGGGTTCATTTCAGAGGTCTGTCTACAGAAGACCCACGTGGACGGGACAGCACACAAACTTCCTGATTTTTGTGTCACTGAGGCGGAAACGAACCCTGATTCACACTTTAACGAACCGAGCAAAACGTATTTTCTGTGCTGATACACTGGGCTCTGAACTGCAGCATACTGCTAACGTGTTCCGAGCCAATGGTTATCCGGAGAGATTTATAACCAAGAGTATGTCCGACCGCCCTATCCAACCGCCTATCACGACTGGTGGAAAGAAACCAATATACTTGAGTTTACCGTATAAAGACGATCTGTTGGCGGACATAGTCAATCGCCGCTTGTTTCAATCCCTACAACGCACGTTTCCGGCTGGAACTCTGCGGTCTTGGTTTATAGCTAACCCTTTGCTCAACTTAAACCTCAAAGACAAGATGCCAGTCTTCACCCAGAATATGGTTGTGGATTCTTTCTCATGATGCTGTTCAGCGGAGTGTGCTGGGCACACGACACGGCAACTCTCTAAGAGAATATGCGAACACCTCTCTTACCGGAATACCATTAGTCTCAACAGTTCAGACAGAAGCTCACCACCTAATTGGACACCGGGCACGTAGTCGTTCCAACTGAGTCATTTTACATCAGTTTATGTGTACCAAATAGACTACCAGTATCTATCCACTGACGTTGCTTGACTACAGCCTACGCAGTCGCTATAGGCCTGCTAAACCCCGTACTGTGCTGTCAAAAACTTTTCGTACGAACGCTGAGTCTACCTTGGTCGTGTGACACGAATCAACCGGCCAAGTCACTCAATGACTAGAAAGAATGTCTCACAGCATCCAGCTAGATGCGACATGGGGTGCGCAGACACCCAGTCGTTTGTGTCTCCACGCTTTGCATTTCACTGACCAATCTTCGCTGCGTATTTCATTTTTCGCTCCTATTTTAACCACTACATATGTACATACAACGAAAATAATGTCACTGTGTTCTTTTTCAAACAAGCGATCGTGATCAAGTTCAGGCGTCATACAACAGTTCTCTGATGTGTTTGACGAACGGACACGCCAGCGTGCAAACTCTAGAACACATTCAACCAGCTACCACAATCGAAGTTCACAGAGCTTCGTCGGGCGTGTGGAGTGACCCATATCCAAATTGTCGATGTTTGATCCACAGTCGAATAGCGATGCAGAGCGAGTCGTGGACACTAGAGCGTGCGCTTTTGTAGTTCAGGGGAAACGAAATGACAGAGATCCCTGATGGCGTATCAAGTTACAACGAATCCGTATTCAGATGATGCAGTGTCACTAGCGGAAACACCTTTCTGACCCAAGTTTTAAACACTGCTTGACTCTACTCAACCAACGAAAAATCAACTATATTGTTGCAACACGCGAACAGAGGAACAGTTCAACCGGAACGACCGAGCGCTCCCTCAACGAATCATTGATAGTGATTACAAGAAAGTCCTGTTGGGATTGAAAACCCGAGTGAATGTATACAGGTTCACTCAAGCCATGATGGGCCGAAAATGAGATGCCCAACCTGCTGATGTAGTCTCCTTGCTAATGAAATAGAGTGGAATCAAGAAAGGAAATCAAGTTTTCGGCGAAGGGTATCGTTGTACAGTTTGATTCCTGTCGTTGTGGCCAGTGTTAGCTAGGATAGCTGGTCGAAATTTTTGCGAGAAACTCGGCATGTAATGAAGGACCAAGTAGGGTTCAGTGTTGAATTAATTTGGGGCTAGCAGCCCCACTTCTACAGGGAGCAACTTCTAGGGAGCAATTGATTTTAGGTAGTTCGGATGGTGCTGGCTTCTAGGTGAGGAAACCGCCTGTTTGTCAGAAACACATGAATATTTCTGGAGCCATAGCAAGCCTTTTTTCTCAACATGTCATCTCATGTCACCGATGGTTCTCTCCTCTTTCGCTGTGTTATCTCAAGCGCACCTTGTCCATTTACAGCCACATCCTTTTCATTGTCTTCTTTTGTTTTGTCACATAGTACGAGGTCACAGACCTTAACATTAGTAGTCGTGACGGCGATACACCACTCTTGACTGCTGTCAAGGATCGTCGGGAGGCGGTCGTTCTCAGTTTGTTGAATGCAGATCAACACTTACGGGAACAGCAGCAACAACAACAGCCGGAAGAAGCACGTCAGCATCAGACAACGAAACCCAAGAACTCCGTTTGTCGCACAGGCTCAGCTACTGCGAATGAAACTTCAGTGCACTACCCAACCATTAGGACAGCGTCCGCCAAGTCGTCAAACTCTGCAACATCCCGGCTCACGCTAGCTTCGGCAGCCAGTGCAGTATTCCGTATTGCGAGCGGTTTCAACGATTTTACCGTTATGCGTTCCTCTTCGGCTGCTGCAGTCAATGTACATTCAGTGGGTCATAAGGCGGGATCGAAGGTTTTCAAACCTCCTTGTTCTCCGTCCTCTCCACCAGTTTGCGATGAGATGGACGTGAAGGTGGTCGAAGCGCGCCTATCAGCGCAGCAGCAACTCGTGAGTGCAAAACACTTCAAAACTCAACCAAACGAATTGGATGTGGGGTCACCACCCAGCAGGCGTCCTGCTGTTGCCTCGAGTTATAGTGGCAGTGCCAATTTGTTTTGTGCTTTCCGGAAAACGGATCAGTGTCAAAGATGTCATAGCATGGGTAATCCTGGTGGTAAGTTACAATTTGTTCCGTACCAATGACTCCATTTTATTGTGACCGTCTCCTGAGGAATGATCATTCCGCCTGACGGAACCTTGTTTCTATGCGAGTCCGCAGGTACGGGAATCTAGTTCTGGTTCCAGTGATGCGCACCACGAGCCAATCGAAGATCCAACCGTTCCATATTCGTCTTGACGGTGTCGATCGATTTTTCATTGATAACCTAAGCAGTATCACCATTCAGGGCAGGTTGGTAGTGCCACTGTTTGTGGGTTTCCTGTCGACCTTTTCAGACTGCGGCTTCAGATTGCTGACACTATCCCAGTTTGAGAGAAGTTGGGGTCTTTTTTGAGCAAAGTAGATTACCTAAAGAGGTTGGCCAAAGATTATCTCTCCTGGAAGGTAGAAGAACAAAAGTGTAGTTGAAGCTCGAGACGCCTCAAAGGTTAGCTCATGATTTTACTGATTGGAAGTTCCATGGTCTGAACCCGACCTTGGGATATCTATTGCTTGTGTTTAGACTTGGGCAACGTGGAAGTATCTCTTCTCTCTTTCGGGCGACGTTGCGACCTTGCACCGTTAGAGTTTTATCATGCAATGGTTACTAATTTTTTGTCAGATTTGTCACAAAACATCCCATATACATTAAACCTCGATTGACTTCACGTTAACTTCATGTTACCAGTAAGTAGTTTCTAGTGATATTTCGATAGCCAACAGAAATCCTCTTTTCTGGAGATGTCAGCGAGATGAGGAGGGCTGGAACTCAAGTTAAAAGAGATCCAGGTGTTTTAATTTCAAACCTAAAAATTAATTTGGCTTCCTAGTCTCGAATTTATTAAGCATATTCTGATGGCGTTTAGGCATCCGAGTTAGGTCACATCCATGTTTGTCAGTCTCGTGGATTGCCGCAGGTTGAACGGGTGGCGGTTGATCTGTTTGCCAACCCAAGCGAACGTTTTGCCGCCATTCGAGGAGGCATCATTGTTGCGCGGTTGAGTAGGTGGTAATGGATTGCCAATTTCACCTGGTTGGATTAGACATTCTGTTGTTCTTACATTCCGAAAAGTGAGGTTTATTAAACATAGGACAAACGCGCAGGGTCAGGTGGTACATTCAAACTAGAATGATATGAATCAAAATTCAACAAACCCACTAACTCGCGGAATACACTTCTAAGCACACCAATCCGGCTTTCACAGAAGACTCAGCTCAATCCCAGTTAATTTCCTCGTTTATACTACTCTACTTTTGAATGTGCTACCGCCTCACGTTACACTTAGAGCGGTATTCGAGATGTCGCAGTGTATGTTCTTAACAGAAGCTACTCACAAGGTTGCGGAAAACTTTTCGGTAACTCACGACTGGTTTCGCTCTTCTTGGGGCTCATCAAATAGGCTTATTTACTGAAATCCCAATTGGTGAGCCGATGAGTGTATTTCGCAAAGGAAAGTAGCAGGTCGTGTGCTGTCTGCAACCTTGTGAGTAGTTTTCTCCAAGCATAGCGACTGTCCGAAGTAGAGTTTTTGAAGTGTTGATTACAGGTACATGGCATTACCGTTCACTCGTGTTACTATAAAGTAGAATTTACTGGCGATAGATTAAGTGTTCTTAACCGGCACCCTGATTGGGCACCAACGTTTGGTTATACATCCAACAGCTAATCCAACGGCTGTTTGCCGTTTTCCCATTTGCAACCACTGTTGTCCCCCTTTAAACGCGCTTTCATTCCGTACCCTCAGATATCAGCGGGTGGTGGCAAAGTTGTGACCGGCTCCAGCGTTTGCTAACAAAGGCCACCTCTTCCATGCATTCATCAAATATCGCTGCAGCTTCCCGTCAGGTACCTCCTCAAACTAGTGTTCGACCCCTACTGGATTTGGATAAACCAGACAAGCTGGGTGAGTCGATTTCTCCACTAAATCGTAAGTTTGTGCGTAATCGGGTGGTGCATGTATCACAGTCGTTCCCCTCACGAAAGAGGACTGATGGAAAGTGACTTTCTTTGTGGACGGTCTTTCCGGAGGAGGGATAATTTCAGTAGCTGTACTCTATCGCAGTCAACTGAAGGCCCCTATTGGCTCCTTGCTTAAGGCCAAATCACACAATTTCGACTGATAACTTGGATTTCATCGTGTGTTAGAGTTTGATAACATTGACCTGCGAAGCGAGTTTCGGTGCGCCAGGACGCCAATTGGAGATGACGATCCTGGATCGATTTGATCACGCCGAAAGTCACCCGACGCAATAAGTAGCAATGCAGTCACTTGCTCGGTATAATGAATATTTTTGTGATGCCTCAAGACTGTTGAATGTAGTTTCCTAATAAATAAAATCGCTTTTGCTTTCAGCACTTGCAATCGTGGGTTAGTCTTTTTGATACATGCAGACCGGTTCTTTCGGATATTTGTAACGATAATTCGTTTATCGGCATGGAACAAGCATAGCAAGCGCTTCCGAGTATGTTCCGAGATCTTTTGAGGAAGATGTCGGTCAGTTCTGCCGAAATGTCATCATCATCATCGACAACATGACATCAGTGTTCAAAATCGTTGCTTCACTGCCGAAATGTGCGTCACAGCAAAGCAAGTAAACCTAAAGATGGTGTGCGAGGAGAATGATCATTCGCACTGGGCTGTCAAAACCAGGGGCAATTCTACGTTTTTGAATGGAATCCTGAAGTCACGTTTGTTATTTGTTTGAATGGTCGTCCTCCTGTCTTTGCGCAATTGATCTGGGGGAAACACCGGACTCGAGTTCCGCTCTGACTGGGAAGCCCTGACAAGCGGGTCATTCAATCGACACAATTAGGACTGTTGTTGGGTCATCGTTCGAGGTGTCGAACAGACCAGTCACATAGTTCAGGCGTGCTTATGTCCGCCTGTTCAGACGTGATAATTCATGCGCGTCGAGCGTGCGAGGCTGGAGTAGTTGTAACATGCTCACCTCGCATGTCAGATGCCCCGAATTCAAATCCCGACACGGCGTAGGATACGCAGTGCTGATGTGCACTAAAAAGAACAAAACTCGAGTCCAATACCTCACCTCTTTGGTGTGAACTCATCAGACTAATTGCGCTAGGACAGAGAGGACCATTCAAACGGGTTGTGTGGATGTGACTTCTACGAATCCAGAAAACCTACAACTGACCGGGAAACTCTCGAAAGTCAACGAAAGTGACCGCTCCAAAACAACCACCAATTAGCTTTCACAGAAGGGGGTAACAGATGTGTCACAAACGACAGAGCAACTCCAAAGCGTGACCTTTCTATCGACTATCCTGAGCAGTCCTCCGAACGAACTCCTGTTGCTTTAGCTCACCGTAACATACGCTCTGCTACAGTAAAAGCACCTGGTCTACTCTGAAGATCCATTTTCTCCAGGTGTGTATGAGAATCGTTCCGGGGAATGCGATGCTACTTATATAGGAGAGACTAGCAGGCAATTAAGGGTACGCGCTGTTGAAAACAAGAGACATGTTCTTTTTCCCCCTCAAAATGATTTTCAATACGAAAAACGAGAGAGAAAAATCAGCAATTGCTTTACACTCTGCAGGAAACCATACACTCTTGTTTGATCAGGTTCAGCCAGTTCAAAGAGGATTCTCGATACATGCAAAACGAGGCTGTGTGTAGCCTCTGGCGTTTCACATCTAACTCATGCGCGCCAGTCGAAACGATGGTGATACTACTGATGGGGGGGGGGCATGCGAGCAGTATGTTTTGTTCATGTAAATTCGCTTTGTGTCTCTTGAAAAGGGAGATCGGTTGCGGAATTTGTGGAGTCGCTTTGTAACATTTACTTGGATTTGAGCAATGAATGATTGGAGTCAGTGAATATTCAGGAAAGTTCAAGAAGACGCGTTCAGGAGAAGATGGATGTTCAGTTTTTGTAAATAAGATGCAAATGGGAGGTTTGCTTCACTGTCCAGTTCCCTGGTCAGTGGGCATTTTCTAATAAATAACTCCGCAGCGAAGGCCTTCTTCCTTTCACTCGTATTAGCCGGCTGGTCAGGTCTGATCAATATTCAGACCAACCAGTCCGCTGGCGCGTTGACATCAATGTCAGATCGCAGGCGTAGTCATGTCCCCTTGACCAGTCCGCTGACGTCTTTGTAACGGTATTCGTCGTCTTGTCTTCTCTCATATTTCTTTATAATTCTAATTATTCCACTCTTGGGAAACGTTACTCGAAGTGACCGAAAAGTCGGGCAATGAACCTCGGTATACTAATGTTGTGTTTGACCGTAGTCAAACCGGTCCTTTCGTTACGTTTGTGTTCTGTCTGTAAAAAGATGGGTTCTAACAAAAGAACCCACAGCGGCCACCGCAAAATGCTCCGGCTTCCCTCCCGCACAAACTGTTGGTCGCAACCTTCAGTTTGGAAGGTACGCTTTCAGACATGGAGGCGGTGTTCATTCACTCGGCTTGATGATCTGATTCTCAAGTGACCGCCTAGTTGATAGTTTCACCTTTGTTGATGCTGCCGAACGCCAAAAATTTCAGGAAAATGTGCAGGATACCGAAATAAATAATCTCACACATATCCTTCCCAACACGAAGTTGTTTCACCTTGAACGGAAGGTGCCTATTTTGAACAACAGTTTACCAATTAGTATGTTCCTGACAACAGCCTACTTTACGGTAGTGAAGCACAGGGTTTTTTGCTGAACATACTTCGTCCGGAGCACCTGGCTCGTGTGAGTAGTCCCCGGGCTGTGTTAAGGGATCGCCAGGTGGAAGCTGAAGAAACCATGGATAGGCCATCCCTAGATTGAGTGCTGTCCTCATCTGCTGAGGGTTTGAGATATCCAATTTCTTTCTTAAATTCTGTTGATGGATAATGATCCTGCCTTTAAAGCCTCCTGCACGTTTTACATTGGTAAACTTGACTGACACGACCTGATAAATCCATTGCCCTCAATATCATATCCATCATCAGTATCGGTTCATCTATCAGACCTGCTTGCTTGCTGTGCTAGTACGAACAAGCAGTCTAACTTCTAAGGTTTATCGATATTAGTGAAAAGACAAATGACTTTCTGTGTGGAGCTGTTTATTAAACAACACAAACTAAGCGGTTATACGCCGTTAGGCACGAAAGCAATATTCTCATCTGTACAGTTTTTGGAACATTCTCATGCGCCCTCTTGAACTTTTCCGGACGTTCTTTGACTAGCAAACAACTATGAACAAGTACCTCAAAGCGTTTCCATAATTTCCATGTTAATCTTCTATCAGATGCGGGAACGGAGCTTTGACACTTTACCGGATACTACTCGCACGTTTCGTCAATAGTATGCACTGTTCCAGTAGTATCGCTGTATATTCAAGCAAACAACTCAGTGGTGGTCAATCTCTCCCGAACAAACCACTCCCTCATTGTATCCAGCCAAGCGCAAAGGGAGTCACGAAAATCCCATCTAGATTTGCGGGAAAAACCTACGCTTTTTTGTGTCATTGTGAGTCGTATCCTCCCAAACACAGCTTTAAGTTCTGCTCTCAGTCACTCTGTCATTTACTTACAATGGCAGGTATGACAGCACTGATGATCGCCGCAGAGGCTGGAAATAGCGGCTTGGTAATGGCGATGGCTCTTATCGCCGCTGGCTGTAATGTGGCTGCTACAGACAAAGTAGGCATGACTGCGCTTCACCATGCCTGTTACGTTGGATCGTTGAATATGGTTCGATTTCTGTTAGAACGTGTTCAACCGACCACCGGCTCAAACGGAAAGCTGACCAGTTCTCCCCAGCTCTACAGTGCTGCTCAGCTTTCATGCAATACTTCCGGTGCTAACGGTCGATTTTTTTGTGCAGATTTGTTGGACACTCAAGTACGTTTCAATCTGCTTAGCCTTATCGTCTATCCCTTTCGAAAGTACTTTAGCGTTTAGCTTATTTGAAGCGCAGGAGCTCAACATTCTCAGGGAGCTGGACTCATCAATCATACCTTAGTACATTTAGAGTTTTCAAAACTTTTGTTGCATGATATATTCCAGTATTAGTTACCGGAAATCGGAAAAAAGGCATGAGGTGTATAAGCCAGCCATGGCCTTTTGCATATCAAACTCTAGTCCGATCTCTGGTTTTCATTTGAATGTAATTTGAAAGTTGAACGACCAAATGATGTCATCCCTAATTGCGTACCCAAATTAATGCCCACGCTGCTAATCTATGGGAGTTTTGTTGGATCTCGTTTCTCTGAAATATATGCTTCGCAACTTCGTCTAGAGTGACCTCCGCACATCTTTATTTACTCACCTACGATATAACAACATTTGTTGTATCGTTATAGTGTTCTTACTAAAAGACTGCATCTGTATTACGAGCAACAAGGAATTCCTTGCACATGGAGTCCAGGTATCAACAAAACTGCTTAAAGAGGCTGCTGATTAGGATACACTAGTTAGTGTTTTACCATGTCCATTTTTAAAAGATTGTTGCTTTGCACAGACGGTTGATCATGGTCGACGAGGATTTGCGATCCACACAAATGGACCAGGAAAGCAGAGATGGCTCAGTGGTTAAGGGGCTAGTTCACTGACCAGAAGGCCCTTTTTCAAACCTGACCTCTGCATCCCATGTCTATATTTGAAAAACCTGTCAGTATCTCGGCCCTCGTCCTTCCTTCGGGCGGCACAGCAGTTAGGCACCGTTGAACTATTACTGTTATTCTGTTACTAAAGCCGTGTACGCCAAGGTGAAATTTGAAAAAATCTCATAAAATCTGACAATTTGTCAGCTATGAACAGTGTACCATAGGTCCATCGGTCCCATCTTTTACGGTTTCGATCATCGGAAAGTGGGAGAATGTGGGATACACAGCCAAGCCTGGGAGGTGATGGCATGTTCAGTTATTTTGATAAACAGGTAGCTAGACAGTGAAGGCGATAGCTTTGATGCACGAGCGCCACTAACTGCGCGATTGGGTCTTTTATGCAAGTGTCATTAACCGTTGGTGAGTAGAGTCTCTGGGTCCCCATCCAGGGAGGTGACAGTTGCCGATCCGACTAAGTTTGCTGGTTTCGATTTGAGCAATGAATGATTGGAGTCAGTGAATATTCAGGAAAGTTCAAGAAGACGCGTTCAGGAGAAGATGGATGTTCAGTTTTTGTAAATAAGATGCAAATGGGAGGTTTGCTTCACTGTCCAGTTCCCTGGTCAGTGGGCATTTTCTAATAAATAACTCCGCAGCGAAGGCCTTCTTCCTTTCACTCGTATTAGCCGGCTGGTCAGGTCTGATCAATATTCAGACCAACCAGTCCGCTGGCGCGTTGACATCAATGTCAGATCGCAGGCGTAGTCATGTCCCCTTGACCAGTCCGCTGACGTCTTTGTAACGGTATTCGTCGTCTTGTCTTCTCTCATATTTCTTTATAATTCTAATTATTCCACTCTTGGGAAACGTTACTCAAAGTGACCGAAAAGTCGGGCAATGAACCTCGGTATACTAATGTTGTGTTTGACCGTAGTCAAACCGGTCCTTTCGTTACGTTTGTGTTCTGTCTGTAAAAAGATGGGTTCTAACAAAAGAACCCACAGCGGCCACCGCAAAATGCTCCGGCTTCCCTCCCGCACAAACTGTTGGTCGCAACCTTCAGTTTGGAAGGTACGCTTTCAGACATGGAGGCGGTGTTCATTCACTCGGCTTGATGATCTGATTCTCAAGTGACCGCCTAGTTGATAGTTTCACCTTTGTTGATGCTGCCGAACGCCAAAAATTTCAGGAAAATGTGCAGGATACCGAAATAAATAATCTCACACATATCCTTCCCAACACGAAGTTGTTTCACCTTGAACGGAAGGTGCCTATTTTGAACAACAGTTTACCAATTAGTATGTTCCTGACAACAGCCTACTTTACGGTAGTGAAGCACAGGGTTTTTTGCTGAACATACTTCGTCCGGAGCACCTGGCTCGTGTGAGTAGTCCCCGGGCTGTGTTAAGGGATCGCCAGGTGGAAGCTGAAGAAACCATGGATAGGCCATCCCTAGATTGAGTGCTGTCCTCATCTGCTGAGGGTTTGAGATATCCAATTTCTTTCTTAAATTCTGTTGATGGATGATGATCCTGCCTTTAAAGCCTCCTGCACGTTTTACATTGGTAAACTTGACTGACACGACCTGATAAATCCATTGTCCTCAATATCATATCCATCATCAGTATCGGTTCATCTATCAGACCTGCTTGCTTGCTGTGCTAGTACGAACAAGCAGTCTAACTTCTAAGGTTTATCGATATTAGTGAAAAGACAAATGACTTTCTGTGTGGAGTTGTTTATTAAACAACACAAACTAAGCGGTTATACGCCGTTAGGCACGAAAGCAATATTCTCATCTGTACAGTTTTTGGAACATTCTCATGCGCCCTCTTGAACTTTTCCGGACGTTCTTTGACTAGCAAACAACTATGAACAAGTACCTCAAAGCGTTTCCATAATTTCCATGTTAATCTTCTATCAGATGCGGGAACGGAGCTTTGACACTTTACCGGATACTACTCGCACGTTTCGTCAATAGTATGCACTGTTCCAGTAGTATCGCTGTATATTCAAGCAAACAACTCAGTGGTGGTCAATCTCTCCCGAACAAACCACTCCCTCATTGTATCCAGCCAAGCGCAAAGGGAGTCACGAAAATCCCATCTAGATTTGCGGGAAAAACCTACGCTTTTTTGTGTCATTGTGAGTCGTATCCTCCCAAACACAGCTTTAAGTTCTGCTCTCAGTCACTCTGTCATTTACTTACAATGGCAGGTATGACAGCACTGATGATCGCCGCAGAGGCTGGAAATAGCGGCTTGGTAATGGCGATGGCTCTTATCGCCGCTGGCTGTAATGTGGCTGCTACAGACAAAGTAGGCATGACTGCGCTTCACCATGCCTGTTACGTTGGATCGTTGAATATGGTTCGATTTCTGTTAGAACGTGTTCAACCGACCACCGGCTCAAACGGAAAGCTGACCAGTTCTCCCCAGCTCTACAGTGCTGCTCAGCTTTCATGCAATACTTCCGGTGCTAACGGTCGATTTTTTTGTGCAGATTTGTTGGACATTCAAGTACGTTTCAATCTGCTTAGCCTTATCGTCTATCCCTTTCGAAAGTACTTTAGCGTTTAGCTTATTTGAAGCGCAGGAGCTCAACATTCTCAGGGAGCTGGACTCATCAATCATACCTTAGTACATTTAGAGTTTTCAAAACTTTTGTTGCATGATATATTCCAGTATTAGTTACTGGAAATCGGAAAAAAGGCATGAGGTGTATAAGCCAGCCATGGCCTTTTGCATATCAAACTCTAGTCCGATCTCTGGTTTTCATTTGAATGTAATTTGAAAGTTGAACGACCAAATGATGTCATCCCTAATTGCGTACCCAAATTAATGCCCACGCTGCTAATCTATGGGAGTTTTGTTGGATCTCGTTTCTCTGAAATATATGCTTCGCAACTTCGTCTAGAGTGACCTCCGCACATCTTTATTTACTCACCTACGATATAACAACATTTGTTGTATCGTTATAGTGTTCTTACTAAAAGACTGCATCTGTATTACGAGCAACAAGGAATTCCTTCCACATGGAGTCCAGGTATCAACAAAACTGCTTAAAGAGGCTGCTGATTAGGATACACTAGTTAGTGTTTTACCATGTCCATTTTTAAAAGATTGTTGCTTTGCACAGACGGTTGATCATGGTCGACGAGGATTTGCGATCCACACAAATGGACCAGGAAAGCGAGATGGCTCAAGTGGTTAAGGGGCTAGTTCACTGACCAGAAGGCCCTTTTTCAAACCTGACCTCTGCATCCCATGTCTATATTTGAAAAACCTGTCAGTATCTCGGCCCTCGTCCTTCCTTCGGGCGGCACAGCAGTTAGGCACCGTTGAACTATTACTGTTATTCTGTTACTAAAGCCGTGTACGCCAAGGTGAAATTTGAAAAAATCTCATAAAATCTGACAATTTGTCAGCTATGAACAGTGTACCATAGGTCCATCGGTCCCATCTTTTACGGTTTCGATCATCGGAAAGTGGGAGAATGTGGGATACACAGCCAAGCCTGGGAGGTGATGGCATGTTCAGTTATTTTGATAAACAGGTAGCTAGACAGTGAAGGCGATAGCTTTGATGCACGAGCGCCACTAACTGCGCGATTGGGTCTTTTATGCAAGTGTCATTAACCGTTGGTGAGTAGAGTCTCTGGGTCCCCATCCAGGGAGGTGACAGTTGCCGATCCGACTAAGTTTGCTGGTTTCTGTTTTCGTACTTCGTAGCCAGGTCATACATTGCCCACATCTTGGTCGCTTCCACTCAGAACAGGGCTGGGTGAAAAGAGCTCTGCGAGGTGAACGGTCTTCTGGCATGTCTTAACCAACGTAACCTATGGAGCGTGAGTAATTCATCTGTTGCGGGAGATTTTAATTATTTCCAAGACCATCCGGCGTAGTTCAGTGTTACTAGTTCGATGTTCCCACCAGACCTGACCGATTCTTCGAAGAAATCGATGATCAAACACTGTTATCTTCTGTATGTCCTTTGCACGTGAAGTCACGTTTCTGACCCATAAAGCAGTTTGGGTCGCACTGCCGCAGTGTAAACTTTGCCCTTGACAAACAGACAAACTAACGTAACGTCGACGCCATGTCTGTCGGAGGTTGGTTAAAGCTGTCCTGGCTTTCCCGACTCGAAAAATAATACCGTCTCCAGCCACTCCACTGGGACTGCCACAGCTGCCCAGGTAAACAGATTTATCTACCATATCGATTGGCTCGTCTGCATGAGGTTTAGATTTGATCTCACTCAGTCTTGCAGCTCAAGTGGAGCGCGAATTTACTGACCGGAAGGTCCGTGGTTCGAACCCGACCTCTGCCTCTCGTCTTCCCAGCCTAGGCTTGGGCGACCTGACAGTATCCCAGCCCTCGTGCTTCCTTCAGGTAGCTTGGCAGCTAGGCACCGGAAGGGTGTTACAGCTGAAAGATCTTTTGCAGCAGCAGTACTTTATACTTTGCAGGTGTGAAGCACATGCCAAACTGTGCGGTAGAGTTATTCAGGTTATTTAAAATCGTTTGCATTTGGGAAGGATATGAACCAAGGAGACCAATATCATCCGCATACCCAATGTCTGCAAGGGAACATCCCGGGAGCACTTCGACTTTCTTGGTTTCAGAGACAGGCAGGGAAATTTCCACAGCACATCAACAACAAAGTTGAAGAGGAAAGGTGAGAGAAGTCAGCCTTGATCCACCCCACTGAACGTGGTGAACTCAGGCGGAAGCTTGCCATACACTCGTACGCGCCGACAGGAATTCGCACACAGGGCCCTCATTAGGATACAAAATCAAAGCAGCTGTCAAACGAAGAAAAAAGACTAACGTGAGACGTTTGAAAGAGTAGCGCTGTTCAGGAATTTGTCTCAAGTTAAGGATATGGTCGCTGCATCCTCGACCAGGGCGAAACCCAGCTTAATTCTTACAAATCTGATCTCTCGATAATCCATCAACCTGTGCAAAACAACGTCAGAGAGTATCTTTGATACGACGGATACCAGGCTGATATCACGATGGGTTCCACATGACATTCTTGAGCCCTTTTGAATGACTGGGGTCACGGTCGAGAAACTCCATTCGAATGGTATTCTATTTTCGTTCCAGGTCTATGGTCGCCAGACTGTTCACCAGGACCTCGCCACCTTTGAACAGTGTGAGGTGCAGACCATCCACACCAGGTGCCTTGTCGCGCTTGATATCTCCCGCTAGATTTCTGCTGATGATGGCGGGTTGGTGTCAATGTTTCATTCTGGCCCGCTGGGTTCTTCCAGCTGTTGTGTTGAAGGAGAACAACTGAACTGTTCTGTGAAGTGCTCATCCTACCTTTAAAGATGACGATTAAGGGGGTAAATTGTCGTTCGTCTTTTTCGCGGTCGAGAAACTCCATTCGAATGGTATTCTATTTTCGTTCCAGCTCTATGGTCGCCAGACTGTTCACCAGGACCTCGCCACCTTTGAACAGTGCGAGGTGCAGACCATCCGCACCAGGTGCCTTGTCGCGCTTGATATCTCCCGCTAGATTTCTGCTGATGATGGCGGGTTGGTGTCAATGTTTCATTCTGGCCCGCTGGGTTCTTCCAGCTGTTGTGTTGAAGGAGAACAACTGAACTGTTCTGTGAAGTGCTCATCCTACCTTTAAAGATGACGATTAAGGGGGTAAATTGTCGTTCCGTCTTTTTCGCATATTGTTTCACTGACATCTGCCTGGTTGATCGAATCAGTTGAAATAGGTTGCGGCTGTTGCCCGCATCTAAAGTCTTGTCCATCTCCTGGGCCTTCGAGATCCACCAGCGTTGTATTTCAATTGGTGGTATGGCCTTTCTGAAAGCAATAAGGTCTGCTGATCCCGACGGTATCCAGTGTTCATTTGGTCGAGTTGGATAGCCTGGAAAAACAGTTCTGAAAAATGAGATCATAGCTTCTTTAACCCGCTTCCATCCAACCTTCATGCGATCTTCGTCATCCGCATGGCTGTGCATTTCCAGTAGAGTTCTATCCAGATCAGCTCGATATTCTTGAGCCACTGAAACTTGTCGAAGTTGATTAATTGAACTACTCTACTTTCGCACGTGTAATGCTGACGGAAGAAGTGATAGCCGGGCCCATACGATAGCCTGATGAGAATCAAGCTGCGTACACCAGAAGGAACGACAATCCCTAATTGAGGCTCTCCATCGGTAACTGATAGCCAGATGGTTCAATTGAGTCTGTTGATGCTCTAGTCGTAACGTAATTAAGTTGATTATCAGGAGGTAACAAGCACTGTTTTACTCGAATGATGATAAAAATAGATATGATAGGAAAAGTAGAATAAACCAAAAAGTGACTTATCGTTTGAGGACAGTTGTTGAGAGTTCCTGAAGGGAGTTCCAGACGCAGTACAGCTGCTTTATACCTGCTACACGTGTTCCGTAGTTACCCCTGGAGATCAGTTGACTTCCTGTCCTGTGCGCACACGTGTGTGTGTTGGGCCGTGTTGTATTCCTATATATTGTGTGAAGAGGGGATTGCCCCTCTGTGTTTTCTACTTGCACGAACGTGAATAAAACTTGACCTGATGTGGTTGAAGTTATTAAACCTGGCGTGTGACGCAAGTGGTAGCCGCTTAAACAAAAATGGATGGGAAGTTGTAGTGTACATGTTGTCGGCTGAGGTTGCAAGTGGGCAGGAATTGTCACGTGGTTTGTGTGTTTGTGACGCGTGACTTAGAGAGTGACCGCTACAAGTCCACGAATGTCTTGTGATAGGTGGCCTCCAAGTAACTCGATGTGAACATTTGTGTTGGAAGCTCGTACTGGCCAGGAACAGACGATGATATACACACAACTGAACAAGCCACTCCCCATTATCCGTACGCTTAGCAGTTACTCCAAATCCACCACCTGACTGTGCTTCTTCCGGGTGTAGTCGACCAACTTGAGTATTCATATCACCCGGCAGGGTTACCTTATCCGTCCTTGAATGACCATCTTTGTGACGACCGTCTCTCGGATAGCCTACTGGCATACGTACATGTGATCCTCCGTCATGAAACTCCTTTAGTCTCCCTCGACAACTCCCGACGTGATTTTGAGCACAGACTCCTCCATGCCTTTGGTGTAATGCCTGCATTAAAAATTGCCATACTGCTATATGTACGTTTATATAGAATCCTATCAAGTGCCCACATTACCCTCTCATTAGCCTCTTAAGTACAACTTCACGCCGTACGTTATCTCGACCCTATAGTGACGACCTCCCACGTGTTATTTCTAGTATTTTCCCTACCCTTCAATGCCTTATGAGTTGGTCATCACAAACCCGTAGAGAAACAGAGCACTGGGATGAACAGCTTGGTGTGAGAGATGACTGAGAGGTGGTCCTTATGTTTTGGGTGAAACTGCGCTGGGAAGCCGGCGCTTCGTATATTGTTTGTCGTTAAGCAATGCCTTCAGCTTGCTAGTTCTGTATCATTCCTCCACTCCAGCTTGGTTTTGAGTTTTGGCACCGCTTCCACGGCAAGCTGCATAACCGCCGCTCATAACGCGAACTTTTTACCCTTTTTTTATCAGCTGTGTGCACAAATACGACATAATTACTCATCCATGTAATTAGTTAACTCCTCAAATTCTGTGAGAGGTGAAAACCGTGAAGCAACCAATCCCTCGTCAGTAATCTCTGAAGTCGACCCAACGTTTTGCATAGTCATCACAGTAGACAAACGAGTTTAAGCTTGAAAATAACTAGTCATTTTTATCAGTTGTGTGCACAAATACGACATAATTACTCATCCATGTAATTAGTTAACTCCTCAAATTCTGCATCAAATTGCCCAGCTCAGCGAACAAGCCAACGACCACCATAACTAGTCAAGTCCAGTTCAAGCTAATTTCAACAAAATTACTCAGATTATGTACTTTTCGGTTTGAGCATATGCGCACAGAGTTGCGGTAATCACAATTACCACATGAGCATCGACAAAGATGTCCATAGAGCTAGGATTAAGATACCACCAGATTGTGCATAGATTCTGCTGTTGCTGAGTTCTCTCGTAAGTACAACAGTTTCGTCACGTCAGTCAAGGATAGTGCTCACACACGCTAGAGGGAATGATAGGGCTGCACACTACTAAGATCAGACAGGCCTGTCTTATAGAGCATAAGGGGAATTTCTGAAGAGACAGTATACTTGAAGTTAACGAAAACTTCGACAGCTCACTTGGATTCAGTTGGGTCTCCCATTAAAATCGAATTAGCATGCAAATGGGTGAGCGCATTTCACAAACTCCGTACAATCTGAGTTCAAGTGGAACATAAGGTTGACAGATACTTGGAGGCTGTGCCTACCTGACGAGCCCGAAGTATTACGAAATCGGTCGTGGGTTATCGAACAGTTCTCGGCAACTTCATGAATAATACAAGTTAATACACTGATATCTTGAATGTTGAGCCGGCTGAAACATGAGGCGACTTTTGTGCAACACATCCAGTTGAAGAATATTATGAATGAAATGTTCAGCTGAGATTCAACTGATCCTCCCGTTAGAACCAAATTGGTATGCAAATGGGTATATTTCGCGAGATGTGGATTTTTGTATTTGAAGTGGACAGTAATGCTCCATGTTGTCCGGTCTGCCTCAGAATGCGAATTCTGAAACACGCAAGATTGGGCTGTTCGTATAGGCACTAGAATTATTTTTATGGTCACCAAAATAGATACTTCAAATGTGTATCAAACAACTGAGACGTTGAGGAATTTCGTGGTTTGATTTGGCAATTGCGTATACCTTGGTGGTGCGAGAGAGCACCACAAGGTCATATTTCGACCTAGGAAAAGTATAGTCTAACTGGTTTACATGTATCTAACTGGTCTGACAAGTGAGCAACAGTCAGCTAGGACACGTCGTTTTCTTCATTCGGTTCACCGGACATACTCATGCATGAAGTGATCGGACGTCTTGGAGAGTTGGTTTGTATTCATGCATTGCACAGACGTTAGACTAAGTGCTTGAACTCGCTGAGTACATTAGAGATCGTCGACGGACGAGTTTGCATGCTATACTAGCTGAATTGAGTCTTCAGTGAGGAACGGTATCTACCTCTGATAGATAAACCCATGCTGAAGGTGTTTCTTTTCACAGGTTTGTGGCATTTTCAGCAAGCCTATATTGTCAGGGATGGTCTAATGCTCTCTACCAATTGGATAATGGCTACCCTCCTGTCTCTGGTGCGTTTTTATTTGTATCTAGAGCTTTCTCGGCTTTATTGAAGTACATTCTAATATAGCAGAACGAACAGTTGATTACAGGTGGTTGGGGGATCTGTAAAATTCACATCACCCTCACAATGCTCCTCGTGTTCTGACGCAATTATTGTAGTGAGTTCATTCCAAAGGTGCGGGAAGCACCGAACTCGAGTTTTGCTCTTATTAGAGCTCACCAGTAGTGCATATTCTTGTTCCTACCGGACATCTAACATGCGAGGTGAGTGTGTTTACGCTCCAGCGGTGCGATTGGTTTGTCCGGACAAATTGTGTTGCCGATCGTTAGAACCGGAAGTAACGGTAAGACTACCGAAGCTCTCTCAAGCAGTATGCTTGTCCGGAGAAGCGGCTACCTTTGAACGATCCCTTACGTTAATCATTCTAAAGGGGGTAACTGTATTTCATTGTGGATTCTAGTCAGGTAAACCCTTGTTTTTGATACTGACCTGACATTTCTAGCACATTGAACTTGTAGTATTTTGTCAAAACCCCACTGTTTTATCCAGTGTTCTTTGTACGAACTGTGATGGCCAGTCAACAGTAATCTGCACTTCGAAAAGATAACCCAGTGGTTCCCGTTTCACCAAGAGTTGACTTTCATCGTACAGTCCTCCCTTAATTCCCGGTTACCACTACCAGTTGTCCCCGAGGAGATGGAATGTCGACAGCCCATTTATTATGGATTTCCCCTGGGTTGAGACATTTTCTTGGTTGTCTCATCGCAGCTAAAACATCTGTCTGTTGTCAATCAATTGGAAAATGTTTGGGACCGATTGGGAAGTCATCGTTTCAGAGGGGTTTCGTAAACAATCGGTGGATTTATTGCTGGGCAACGTTTCGCTTTTGATACAAAAGCTTCGTCAGGCCAAGTGAGTAATCCGGGTTCATCATAAAGACGAACCCCCCCTAACCGATCTATCCTAAAGCTTAGTCATCCCCACTAATCAACAAACAGGGACATCAGACTGAACACCCAGCACTGATCACGTCACTAGTCATAAGGAGGAATCTCACGGATTGGTTCCTTGACTGCCTTAAAACCCAATCAACCTACTTACTTACTCACTTGGCCTAACGAAGCTTTTGTGTCAAAAGCGAAAGTTGCCCAGCAATAAATCCACCGATTGTTTACCAAACCCCTCTGAAACGATGACTTTCCAATCGGTCCCAAACATTTTCCAATTGATTGACAACAGACAGATGTTTTAGCTGCGATGAGACAACCAAGAAAATGTCTCAACCCAGGGGAAATCCATAATAAATGGGCTGTCGACATTCCATCTCCTCGGGGACAACTGGTAGTGGTAACCGGGAATTAAGGGAGGACTGTACGATGAAAGTCAACTCTTGGTGAAACGGGAACCACTGGGTTATCTTTTCGAAGTGCAGATTACTGTTGACTGGCCATCACAGTTCGTACAAAGAACACTGGATAAAACAGTGGGGTTTTGACAAAATACTACAAGTTCAATGTGCTAGAAATGTCAGGTCAGTATCAAAAACAAGGGTTTACCTGACTAGAATCCACAATGAAATACAGTTACCCCCTTTAGAATGATTAACGTAAGGGATCGTTCAAAGGTAGCCGCTTCTCCGGACAAGCATACTGCTTGAGAGAGCTTCGGTAGTCATACCGTTACTTCCGGTTCTAACGATCGGCAACACAATTTGTCCGGACAAACCAATCGCACCGCTGGAGCGTAAACACACTCACCTCGTCTTCTTTATGATGAACCCGGATTACCCACTTGGCCTGACGAAGCTTTTGTATCAAAAGCGAACCGTTGCCCAGCAATAAATCCACCGATTGTTTACCAAACCCCCCGGAAATCTGTCTGTTGTGTTATTCAAATTAATCGCGTTCATCCACTGTACTTCAATTCACAGGACAAATACGGTCGAACTCCCATCTACCTGGCCGCTTGTCGTGGCCACACCGAGGTCGTTAACTATTTGTTGGGATTGTCGGCTGACTTTCACATCCCCAACAAAGAACACAAGTCACCCTTGTATATCAGTGCCTATTTTGGCTATTTGGAAATTACTAATACTTTGCTTCGTCATGGAGCGCAGGTAAGCCTCAGCACATTTTCTGGTAGTTCACCTAGGGTTTATTTTGGCTTGTCGAAACACATGCACAGTATTTCCCTTCCTTTAATTTCTTATAAACCTTACTCTAAAACAATTCTTATATTGCTGCTGTTACATTACTCCCTATCGGGGAATGACAGAAGCCCTAATTGTCGGGGTGTTTACTTGAGAAAGAAAGCGACGGTGAACCATCATTCGGTACTCATATTTTATGTTTTTTTATAGCCCTTAGTATGCTCAGTATTTGAGTGCGAGCAACATCGATCAACCGGACGAAATTTCGACAGACTCAGTTTATTTGTTTTCATTTGTTTGGATTACCTCCACTGTACACTACGTGGCGCAGACATTTGTTTCGCAGGAACATACTTCTACCTTATGACAGTCGTTATCCTTGATATACCCTGCTCCGGGTGATGATATCGCCATGTGCAATGCACTCCAGTACGATTTCATTAATATATCAGCCGATAGCCTCACCGATGATCTTCTCACGATACCTAAACTGATTCCACAATGCTTCCTCCAGAGTCTCCTCTGCCTTTGAGTGCTTGGGTGTTATGTGCAGGCCAAGCTAGTCAATTCCTTTTCATTTACTTATGGGAGGATAGTCTCTTAGTGAACAATCTCAAAACTGAAGAGTTCGTCACTAACATTATCCCTATATTTCATTTTTATTATAAAAGTAAATCCTTTGTGGACACTGTTCACTGATACACAGCTGGGCCACAATTCACAAATCCTTGCTCACTTTTCGTCTATTTCCTCGAGCTAGAGGTAAGGTGAAACCATATATTTGGCTGTTTTACACATTGCGAACAGGTCATTTACTTTGATGTGCAGCTGCTACACATTAGTGTTTTTTTCAGGAATTCAATTATTTCCTTTATGAGAAAGTAGGGTGCAGTTTTAGTAAACACTTCATCTTGTGTCTCTTCCAAAGGTCGACCAGGTGGACTCGCATCGCAAAACCCCACTTTACGTAGCTACGTACCATGGTCGTTCTGAAATTGTGGATCTTCTCCTAGCTGCAGGGGCGAACGTTAATTCAGCCGATAAGAACGGCAAAACTCCCTTGTATGTGGCTGTGCTCCATGGACATTTGGCTCTTGCTCAAAAATTACTCAACGCTGGTGCTTCTGTGAACCGTGTTGACCGTGAGGGTTTGGGTCCGCTGCATATGGCTGTCAAATTTCCCAAACTTGACATTCCAATGGTGAAACTACTGTTGAACTACGGCTGTGATCCAGTCAATTTGGCTAGCTTTACACGCTGGCTTTTGGTACATGGAATTATACCGCAGGAGTGCATCCACGGGGATGATGAACTGGCTAGTTGGCTTCACTGGGAAGAACGTAACGTGCGTTCTCTTAAGCGTCTTTGTCGCGTCGCAATCCAGCGAGCTTTGGGAACCACCGATTCCGTGCGTTGGAAGATTCGTCGACTGCCGTTGCCCGAAAACCTTTTGTCCTACGTCTCAATGAAAGAGCTGTGATTAGCTATTGTGAATCAGTTTTCATTGTGTTGTTTTAACTGCCTCTTGCGCGACGGCCATAGTGCATTTCTCATCTGGAATAGGGGTTATCAGAGTCATGATCCGAAGTTATTACTTTTCTTATCGTGGGTGTTGTTTTTAATCGCTTTCATACTCCGTTGTTATTGTCCACTTTTTCCTCTTCTTCCTATCATCTCATGTTCTCAGTCTCCGCCCTCAGTGTATCTTTAGGCGTTCGGTGAAAATATAATTATTTGACGGAGCCGAACAGTTTCGCAAATGCTTCACCTTCTTTGTGTTCAGTACTTCTGTTTTCTAGGTATTCAATCTGTTTGACCCCTTCGCTGAATTTTTCTTCAGCATGGTTGGCTTTATCAAGTGTGCAATACCACAGTGTCATGATTCCACTTAACACAGTAAATAAAGCATATTATGCCAGGTGTCCTTGAAATTCATAGGTTCTCACTTTTCTTACAGTTCGGAGGTATCAGACTCTACTATGTGATCCTTTTGGGAAAAAATTTCAATTCACACTGGTTGGCGTCGCCTATTTCTGAGGGTATTCAGAAGGAATCCTTACTTCTGTTATGTTGTACTTTTGAACGATGGTTGATCAGTCAGAGTAGGAGAGTGGAATTAGAAGTAGTATGGAGCACACAACCTAAGCGAATAAGGGGACCCATGGCTTAGGCGCACCTGGAACAGTGATATTACTGAAAGCAGCCGTGCTTTACATTGACATGATAGAGAAAATTGTTCAGCTGTTGCACCCATTCGATGCCGAACTATCATGCCACCCGAAGGAAGCACGAGGGGTGGGATACTTCCAGGTCGCCCAAGCCAGGACAGGGAAGTCAAGAGGCAGAGGATCAGGTTCGAATCACGAACCTTCCGGTTAGTGAATTCGCGCTCCAACCGCTGAGTCATCGAGGCTTCCGGATTTTCGCACAGAAAGCCAGTAATGTCCAGTTTATTTGTCACCATGTGTTTGGAGGAAATGGCCAATACTCCAGCATAATGGTATGGTGAGTTTGACTCCGTGCTAGGTGCCTCTGTCAACCAATCAATAAACTCATTTATCGTCCTCAAAAACCCATTGGGAATAGACCTTTCTCTTTCAACTTTAGGATGTCAAGCTAGATTTCTTTGCAGCACGGCCAAGAGATACTGTTGTTCTAACTTTCAGTGAGTTATCTCGCGTTTTCAATCGTTTTCGGCTCTTCCAGCTGTTTAATACCGGGGTTCTTCTTACATTAACTCTCGGTCTGAACCTCCCAAGCTAGCCTTCCGATCAAAACAACCAAAGGTACACAACGTTCATTAACACCCAAAAACAAGTCAAGGACACTCATACAGCGCGTCATGCAGGCGGTGACAACGTGGAAATTCTGTCGCACTCTGGATGCCTTAGTGGCAAGCCGTATTCGGTTGATACCGGATTATGGGTGACTGTTGGGTTCACACTCAAAAAATCAGCTGTCGACTCGACGCTGGACCTTCAAGCCTCCCGAACTTTTGCCAATCTTGTGCAGGGTAAGCTTTCCGGAAGTGACAGCGCTCAACTGCGACCTGCAAAATGTTATCCGTGTGGAGTTCCACCTAATACATTGAGGTCCTCCAAAGCAGCCTACTGCACCTTATATGGTGATCCTTCTGACCACTGTATATTAGTACTTTCTTTGTAGCTTATCATTACTCAAATTGTACCACTTTCTATCTCTCACCAAATCTCAGCTTATTCCTCTTCTCTTCATACCGAATAACTTTTGTTTAAATGAAAAAAAGAAATATGGATGCATACAGACAATACAAATTCTGCACTTCGTGAAAGGCGTGTTCCCTTCTTGCTGTGTCGAGTTACGCTGTCAGTGAATTAACGAGCGGTGATCTACCTTTCAGACTACGACGGGATAGAAAGTATCTAGGAATATCGATTTGGATTTATTGTGGTGGTAATAACTAACTGTACCAACGAACTGAGTTGTGTCATCTCGCCTATTTTTACTCACTCGATTTAACTACTTTGAACTGGTATTTGCTAGCGTTATCCACTACA